TAAAATAGAATTTGCTGGTTACTTAAAATTCTCCTCCTCCCACATGCACACAGTCTTTTCCAAACTCATTATCCTTTTGTTCATAAGACCTAGTGATATTTTTATACAATTTGTGAAAATATTTCTATCTTTTAAAAAAATATTTAATTTTTATGTGTATGAGTGTATTATCTGCATGGGTTACACCCATGTGTTATACTTGTCATGCAATACCACTGGAGGTCAGAAGAGGGAGTCAGATTCTCCTGGAAGTAGAGCTTCAGATGCTTGTTAGCTGCCATGTGGGTGCCGGGAATAGAACCAAGGTCATCTGCAAGAGTAGCCAGTGCTCTTAACTGCTGAGCCATCGCTCCTGTCCCTAAAGATTTATTTCAAAGACTTCAAGTTAGAGAAGAAAAACAGTAAAGTGTGAAATAATAGTAAGTCAGGAAAAAGCCCAAAGAGGTATTCTGCGAAGTAATTTACATATTTTGTTATTTTGTTAGCCCAGAACAAAACTAACATGTCTTCTTCCTTTTATTCTCTCTTTTGGAAATCCTGTCTTGTGCTGAATTGGAAGAGGGGGTGACATCAGACAAACAGCTCAGGAGAGGATTCATCAGCAGCAGCAACAACTTCCTATTCCTGTTCTTCCTGTGGGAATCACTGACTGGCTGGTTAAGTGTCAGCAGACTCCTGGAACCAGAAGCCTCACCACCAGAATTAGGGAAGGGTTCAGTTTAACTGAGCATTAGTACTAACAGAAGAGACAAAATATTCTCTATAGAACTAAATTTCTCCCTGACAGAATGCATGGAGGGCACAGGGAAGCTGCCTGCTTGTTCCTTGTGGGGAACAAGTCTTCCACGCTGACAGATTAGAATGCGTCTTGTCTAAGTGCAGACAGAGATCATGTATGAACCTTAGTGGCACTGCTGAGACTGAGCCCTCCACTCAGTTTGTGGGGAAAGTCTTCCACGCTGACAGATTAGAATGCGTCTTGTCTAAGTGCAGACAGAGATCATGTATGAACCTTAGTGGCACTGCTGTGACTGAGCCCTCCACTCAGTTGTGGGGCTG